ACTGCGCACGACAGTAGTCGGGCAACACGATTCAATAAAAAACGCAATGCGACGATGCGCATGCAACGGATCATTTTTAATGATGATCCGTTCAGCCTGCCACCGACAATTAACAGACAGCGTCGCGTCGTCTATTGCTCACAGAGAGTGGAGATGGATTCGTTGTGCTACGGTCGTACTAGTGTACGCAGCGTGTCCCCAGTCCAACATGCTTTCGCCTCAGAGTCTCAAGAAGTATATACCACTCCTAGGAAAAACAATTGGGTCATTACTCCCATAATTCATGTACTGACAAGAATTATCAAATTCATACTATATATTGATGGTTCTGGTCCTATGTACTAGTAAGGTTATACCTTGTTAAAAATACTAATTTTCTGTAATGATCGACACAGAGGAAGAAATTCAAGATAAATAGTTCGGCCAAAAAACATTTAGGAGATTGAACAAAACAAAACAAGAAAAAGTGAGCACGCGATGTAGAAATAAGAGGCGCAGCTTTAGGAGGTAGAAATGATAGGGTACCCTTTGCGCCCTTGTTAGAAATCACATTGCATGGTAGTAAAGAATGCAAAGTTGAAATGTAAACAGGTTGTATAAAATAGATAATTGTGTTAATTTTAATATGATAAATTATATATTTCTTATTGGGAGTTTTCATGGTGATGGTGGGCATGACAATTAACAGACAGCGTCGCGTCGTCTATTGCTCACAGAGAGTGGAGATGGATTCGTTGTGCTACGGTCGTACTAGTGTACGCAGCGTGTCCCCAGTCCAACATGCTTTCGCCTCAGAGTCTCAAGAAGTATATACCACTCCTAGGAAAAACAATTGGGTCATTACTCCCATAATCCATGTACTGACAAGAATTATCAAATTCATACTATATATTGATGGTTCTGGTCCTATGTACTAGTAAGGTTATACCTTGTTAAAAATACTAATTTTCTGTAATGATCGACACAGAGGAAGAAATTCAAGATAAATAGTTCGGCCAAAAAACATTTAGGAGATTGAACAAAACAAAACAAGAAAAAGTGAGCACGCGACGTAGAAATAAGAGGCGCAGCTTTAGGAGGTAGAAATGATAGGGTACCCTTTGCGCCCTTGTTAGAAATCACATTGCATGGTAGTAAAGAATGCAAAGTTGAAATGTAAACAGGTTGTATAAAATAGATAATTGTGTTAATTTTAATATGATAAATTATATATTTCTTATTGGGAGTTTTCATGGTGATGGTGGGCATGATTTTTAAAAAATTTGAGATTTCTGAAATTTCTATTTTTTCAAAATTCATATAATAACTATGAAGTTATATTAAATGTACTACAAGCAGTAGGGATGGAAACAAAAGGTAGAATGGCAAATTATGAAAATTTATAAACTAATGGCATTTGATCTTACCGTATATTGTATATCAATGATGATAGACACTGAAATTTAATATCATTATTGGCTGTGTAAGATTTTTAATTGTCTTTGTCTCCTCAAAATTCAGTTTCATGGTTGTCAGTTAGCAGTCATCTCCGTTCATACAGAAATTATGATCTCGTCCATGAATATAGACAAAAAGACTATTGAATCAATCGATGCAAGGCCTTTAAGGGTAGGTTATATCAATACATGCAGAACGCCTCGTTATCAATGCTTTTAACAACTAATTAACCATAGTCTAAGTAGAATTGATCTGAGTAAGAACACCACCTTGCTAAATCAAGGTAGTTGTAAGTTACTTTCTTCTATCAATACATGCTATGAAAAAATTAAGTGATATTAACAGTGAGCTAACTATAGAATTTATAGCGGAATTCAACATTCTAATATGCTTTAGGCTAAAATGTCTCTTAAATATTGAATGCTTTATTGGAAAGCTATTAGTAAGTGGTCCATTGGGTCGGTGATTAATTCACTCCGTAAGTGATTTTGTGGGTAGGAAGGAAGATGGGGATTTTTTTTTTATATACTAAATGTTTCCTTTTGGAGAAGTATCTTTCCCTTTACGGAAAAAAATTTATCTTTAGCTACAGCCAAATAAGGGATGTTTTTCCTAACAATGTTTCTCATTTCTATGCATGTGATTAATTACAAAGAAATCATAAAAAAAAAAGGTCAATTTAAAATTCAATGGATATAAAGCATATAAATATAGTTTTTGAAAAATCAAATGTATTTGGTTTGTTAAGGCGAACCTTTTTTATACCTTGTTTAGTGAACCCACTGGATGACAATGATTAAGAATAAAAATAAAACTTTATTTCAGATTAATTAGCGCACCCGCCGCTGCCACAAAAAAATGGACATTTCAGAAAAAAAATGTTTTTGCTTTATTTTTATAATGCCTGCTGCTGCTTTGAAATCTCAAAAAAAACATATGTATACTTCTTCCTATAAAAATTTTAAGCACTTGATCATTCCATTACTACACTATTTACTTTTATACCAATATATTACTTTTATCATCTCCTCTGTCTGGATGGTTTTGGCAAAACCAATTGCTAAATAAGAAAACAAAATTAAGTTTTTATTTTTCTTTTCCGCCCTCCTCTGACGATCTTTAAAAAAAAAAGTTCACAAAACAGGGTATAAAGAAAGTCTTGCCTAACAAAACAATTATTTTCTGTCAGTCTTACTATGCATGTCACCAAGTTTACAAACTAACGAGGAAGACGTATTGATGATTCATTATATCTGATCATCTGTGTAAATATTAATTTACATTTATTTTAATGCGAAAAAATGAACATTACTGCTAGACAGCGATGATTTAAGTAGTAATAATATTGGGAACAGCCCTTAGCTGCCAAGAATCAATATCACACAACCTCTAGATGCTGACTCATAAGTCCAACTCTTTTTGTTCTTTGTTGCCAGGGTAAGAGGATGACCCATCAGTTTCTATCTGAGATCTCTTGCCTTAAGTATCCTCTTAACTCGTTTGCTATAGTTTTGAATGTGATAGACACCTAGGTAATGGTGAGAAATTTAGATATTTAATGGAACTTAATTCTCTTCTTAATACATGCCCAATCAACTAAATCCGATATATTTCCTACAGATTGATGAATCCAAAAAGAGAAATTAGAGATTAGAGCAATAACAGGATAACAAATGTTTTTTTCTGAAGTTTGATGTTAAAAAATGAATATTATTTAGCAAAGGTATTTATTTAATATTTGGGAAAACATTATTTGCTTAGACAATATAATATTAAGGGAGGAAAGTCAAGGGGCAGAAGCAGTCAAAACCACTGTCACCTGAAAAATGTGTTCCATAATTTCTAATGTGAAAATCATTGTTTTGTGATGAAAAAACACAATTTAAATTCAGGTTTCAGTATTTTTATAATTGTGGATTTACATTAAATTGAAAAAAAGATGTACAAAGCAAATATGAAGTAATATTGATTAATTAATGTGAATAAATTAAAGTTTCATTAGAATACAGAATGTTCAAATAGTCTATAAAAAAATGTCAATAATTGATATTGTGTCATTGCCGTGTGTTGCGAGACCAGGTGTGCAAAGCTCAAGATGCGTTACGCCCTCAGGTGCACTATGTGAAGAGACGACGAAACAAAGAATATCAGTGCAGGATGTACTGGCAGCCGACTTTTTCAAATTCCAATAAGTTCAAGCTACTCTGGCTTTATGGACCTGGTATTTTCATTGGTATTTTGATTTCTGACTAGATAATCTATTTTCTTGCTGTGAATGTGTGATGGCATTTGCTAGTCTTATAAGTGGTGCAGGTTTTCACTTCTCTTGTAACCATTCTTAATAGATCTGCTTCAGTGATTTACCTTCAGATAAAAGTTCTTGGTTATTACTGGTCATAGCTGTTGTCGCACTTCTAAACAACCCTTCATTAGATTCCCCTTCCCAATCTCTTTTCACAATTATTAGCTTCATCACCCTTCTTAGCAGCTCTATGGTATCCCATTTACACATCACATTTCTTCTTAGCTGTATATCAAGTTCAACCCTTTTTTTCATTTGAAGTGTTTCACACTTCTTTGCAGCTTTAATGTACATAAGATTTCTCCCTTCATATTCCGCAGCTTTGCATCAGTTTTACAATAACACATTTTGATAAGCCATCTCAAGCTCGCAATAACTATGTTATTGTGTAGATAAATAAAGCTAGGTCTATTCTGCCCATTTATTTCTTGCTAAAATTAATTGCCTGTAGAAAAGGCTTAAAATTCCTTAGAGAATTACACCAAGCTGCATGCCCTAATGTGTTTACACTATCTACAAATAATGCAGTGTACATGGCCATAGATCTTGTTAAGCTTTTAATTATTGTATTGGTAGCAATGTTTATAGCAATTTTACAATGTTTGGTTCTTTCCCATCGGATACATAGAGTCAATGAACTTCAAATCTGTATACTGTATAGCGGATAAAATACATGTACTTCATGGCATTTAACATGTCCATATGGGTTAAATAAATTGTGAACATGTCTCTTCATAGATACAGATGGACAAGAGATAATAATAAATTTGTTGGTCCTTTAAAATAAAAAGTTATGCAGTACTTAAGTTTATAATATCTGGATTTTTCTCAGGATCCCACTCTTTTGGAGTTGAAAGCTTTGTAATTGGTGCGAATTGTTATCCATGCAGAATAAACATGTTGGAGCACACACTATGATTACTATTGTCAGTAAATACATTTCCTTACATGAACAGCAATCTCTTGGCAACCACCATTTCTTTAACTCTTTTGAACCGAACATTCCTCCCTAATATTAGAAGTCTCAGAACTACGTTTCACCTCTAAACTTTTTTATTATCAGAAATCACTTCTTATTATAATGCCACTAGTGCACTCAATCCCACCCCTTACTTAAAGTAGCATCATTACATGGTTTGTGCCATATAAACAATCACGACTATTGTCATTGTATAGCGACTGAATCAGACTAATAAAAAATAATATAATAGGATTATAATAATTGACTGACATGAAATAATATAAGCTGAACTTGACCAACCTGCGCCTGGTGCTTCATTCTCAGATCCATTGTGACTCTTTTAACTATTTCCAAGAAGAATGCAAATATTGTCTTGCGGAAAGTTTCTAATTCCTGGATTCTTTAATAGATGATTTATGTTGCTAAGAACATGAGGGTACCCTCTATTATACTAGCATATACAAACTGCTTACGATTGAAGTTAGATTGTCAATGTCAACGAAATGTTTTTGTATCCACACATCAACAAAAAACAAACTTAACTGGAAATAGATGCGTCGAGTTAGACAAATACAGGCGTCATGCTTTTATACAATACAATATTTTAAGTACATATTGTTGGTTTCAGTATCAGCATCAGATTAGCAGATGCAAACTGGATAACCATGTTATTGTGAAATTCTCTTCAAATATCAAAATGTTATAGCATAATCATTATGTGTTTTTGATAACTTCTACTATTATGGAAATCCGATGCGCAACATACGAAAGATTACATGAGCGTGACGTCAGCAACACCAACAATAAACAACACCTCCTGAACGTGCGAGTATTTCATGTTGTTACTCGGTGACAACTTCCAGGTGTCAACAGTATCATACATTTGTCACTAATTTGTTCAATACCGCAATGACATAAAGAATTTTTACATAAAATTACCAGCTACAATAGATATGGTCAAAATTCTGAGCCACCATGTTCAAATGTCAATATTAATTTATACATCAATGCCTCAGAGAAAAAATTTCTTCAAATCTTGATGCAATAAATAATTCCTGAAATTCCTATGAGAAGTTGTTGTGACATCATATGCATTTCATACACACTTTTAAAATCCCAATGTCTTTCGCTAAGTTTTGGTCTGTTGGCCATACAAACAACTGTTAATTTTAAACAGAACAATTACCAGAAACAGCCGCAATTAATAATGTATATTGCTGGCTGAAGAGATTCTGTTGTGAATATGCTTTGAATTTTGCTGTTGAAGTAATCCAATTTAGATTCTAAAATCCTTTTATTTGTCTCAAATTGGAGAGATTGAATTTAGTAATCATTCCATCCTGTCTTTTGTTGTACCCTTTGTACATTGATCAGAGAGTAACCTAATTCTAATTTTAACATAGCAAGAGGAACCAGTAAATATGTTGCTTCTGCAACCACATTCAATAACTGATCCAGTCACTATTATATGCAGTTACTTTTTTTAAATTGCAATTTTTTATCAGCTTTGTGCATTTTATTGCTATCAAGGGCATAGATCAATACTTTAAGTATTCTTTCCTCAAAGTGATGAAATTGGATCGAGCTGTTATAAAATGCTACTGATGACAGGCAGAATTTAGAAGAAACAAATAGATTCCCCATACACATAGAAATATTGATCTAAAGAATGTTTGTTCTGTATAGCCCTTGAAGTTCCACACTACATGAAGACAAGACACATTCAGTATCTCCAACTGACATTGGTGAGGTCACAATATGCACAGATGCATCACTTGACTTCCACACAAAGCCAAAACTGTGCTTAATGCAAAAAAGATGACAGCAAAGGGTGTTGTTAAGTAGTTAGTCCAGTGATTTATGATTCAGTTTATGCTATGAAATCCAATAAATCTAAAAATTGTAAGCTGTATAAATGCCTTTAAAACGCTTCCATTCAAACAGCATCAATATATCAGCTTCCAATCACCTTCAAACCCCACGAATCCATGCATCAAAACTGACTAATTGACAAGTATAAGTAACAACCTAATGCATAATTTTCTAATTAAAAAAATACAAGCTTTTGTACTTTAATTAGCAAAGTTATTAATCAATCTTGTCTTCCTGATGAAAAAATAACCACCAATTACTTTCATGAGAAACCTTCCAGAATCTTCAAAGCTTGGATACAACAGTTCTAAAACTGGAGCAAGCTGCCATAACTTGTATTGTATGCTAAAGGCTGTTGAATTTGCTTGGTTATTACTTCTACTACAGTCTAGTTAGCTACCACGATGATCTGAACTAAGTTCCTTAATGTTTCTTCTTAATTCAGTTCTGTTATGACCAACCTATAATTGCATGAAAGTTTCTTGGATTTGATCTATTAATGTAATACACACACGACGTTTATTTGTACAGTTTAAGGACGAACTTGCAAAATCCCTCTGATGAAAAACTGGTCCAATATCATAAGAAACAGATATCATGAGTACAGATTGATGAATACAATGCATGCAGTCAACAATAGCCAACTAACGCAATGCATATCAATGCTTAGCAACTAATGTGCAGGAACCAGTACATATGAAGCGATAACATTTTGCGAGATACTCCAAAGATAAAATTATTAAGAATAGAACCTCCAAAGATGCATGAGAAAGCAGTTGGTGGTAGCAAATGATGACAGTATAACAAGCCTAGTTAATACTGCGCAAGTCCATCAACTGTGGAAGAATAGTCTACATCTATCCACTCAACAGTAGTTTCTCAATTACTGTACATTATACAACCCAAACTGCATGCTTCATCGAACATGGATCAACATTACCTCAAATAGTATACTGCCCTCAATCTGTCAGCACTTTTATTACTCAAGGTTGAACTTCATAAGATGATAATATAACAAACCAATTAGATGGAAGCCACTTAGGCATGCTGTTTGTAATTCAGCAAAAATGATATGTCTAGACACACCATAAAATGCTGCACAATACAGTATTATGAATTTCCTCAATTTTCTTCTTTTTTACTACCCCAACATTTACCTTTATGTTTGAGGACATGAATATCCATAGAGTTGGACAAAATATGTTACGATATTAAAAAGCATTTCATCATTGTAATAACAATGATGAGTGGCTATTACGATATAATGATACAGCAAGTTTGAAGCCTGCCCTCTATACAAAAACAAACTATACTCATAAAATGTCTTTGAAAATAATACTTTGCATTTTACGAGAGGGTTGGTTGACTTTTATTTCTGCAAAATTTAAGAATGTTTCACAAATTCATTAAATTAAAACATTTCAATCCAATAAAAAGTAATAAGTAAAAAATAAATACAATGCATGCAGTCAACAATAGCCAACTAACGCAATGCATATCAATGCTTAGCAACTAATGTGCAGGAACCAGTACATATGAAGCAATAACATTTTGCGAGATACTCCAAAGATAAGATTATTAAGAATAAAACCTCCAAAGAAGCATGAGAAAGCAGTTGGTGGTAGCAAATGATGACAGTATAACAAGCCTAGTTAATACTGCGCAAGTCCATCAACTGTGGAAGAATAGTCTACATCTATCCACTCAACAGTAGTTTCTCAATTACTGTACATTATACAACCCAAACTGCATGCTTCATCGAACATGGATCAACATTACCTCAAATAGTATACTGCCCTCAATCTGTCAGCACTTTTATTACTCAAGGTTGAACTTCATAAGATGATAATATAACAAACCAATTAGATGGAAGCCACTTAGGCATGCTGTTTGTAATTCAGCAAAAATGATATGTCTAGACACACCATAAAATGCTGCACAATACAGTATTATGAATTTCCTCAATTTTCTTCTTTTTTACTACCCCAACATTTACCTTTATGTTTGTGGACATGAATATCCATAGAGTAGGACAAAATATGTTACGATATTAAAAAGCATTTCATCATTGTAATAACAATGATGAGTGGCTATTACGATATAATGATACAGCAAGTATGAAGCCTGCCCTCTATACAAAAACAAACTATACTCATAAAATGTCTTTTAAAGTAATACTTTGCATTTTACGAGAGGGTTGGTTGACTTTTATTTCTGCAAAATTTAAGAATGTTTCACAAATTCATTAAATTAAAACATTTCAATCCAATGAAAAGTAATAAGTAAAAAATATTTAACCAGTTAATTCTCCAATCCTTATTTGTCACTCCTACACTTTACCCAAAACTGATACTTTTTATAAGGCCCAATAAAAAAAATTATTAGTTTATCACCCTCGAGCGCATGTCTTTTATGGTACTTGAAAAAAAAAATTTGTTGGAAAAAAAAAAATTTTTTTAATTTTTTAAATTTATTTTTTTCATTTATTTTATTAAATAGTTACTAGGTATTGTTTGCATTATCTAAATCATGTTTTACTTTGAATATCAATGCACCAGCAAACAACCCAAGGGTGATATTTGGCTTTAGCAAAATAAAAAAAAAAAAAAAAAAAACCGCCTCCCTAAAAAAAAAAAAAAAACCTCCCTCCCTCATCACTTTTCCTGCCCAGATAGGGTGATAAACTAATAATATTTTTTATAAGGCCTAAATCCTTCTGTCTTTTTTTCCTATCACAATGATAGGACCTCTACCATTATATGTGTACAGAAAAACTAGAAAAGTTCAGACATATTTTGACTTGAATGATATAATCTGTATCAAAAACCTAATTGTAAGTTAATGTGATCTAATTTTCTATTGGTCTAGCATTCAAACAAAAAACACAATAAAAATGTATACGTATTTACAAGAGATTCTTTTGACTTACCCTTCGATCCCTTTCCTCCTCAAGTGACTCCTCTGAATAGGAGGAGTGATCACTCTGATCTATGACATTTGATCTCAATTGACCTGCAAATCCCTGGTGCTCCCGACTTATGTGTTGTCGACGATCACGATGATAATAAAATCCCATGATTTGATCATCCCCCACTTACATTCAGTTTTCTGTCAGTAGAACCCTACAGCAGTCAAACTTTTTTGCTAAAATCCTATAATAAAGTGTTTAAGGTGACATGGTATCTTTATTCAATATCTATGAATGCAAGACTCAGTTGTGGCATTAGGAATATTCTCAACATCTTTTTGGTTTACTGCTTATATGTCAGAGTGAGCCGCAGAAGTCACACGCTACTCAAAGATTTCTTGGTCTTCTTTAATCGAGTAAGCTGCAAACTTGTTTCACAAGTTTCCAATAAAAGACAGGATAGGTAACACTGGATCTGTACTCCAGATTTATCACAATGTACACTCACATTAACATCATTAAACAAATAAGATACCAGCTGAAATATTCAGTTTTTAGATGTGTCTTTAGCGCCTACAATTTAGATATGCAAATTAAGAAAAACTTTCGAAGATGTGGAACAATTTCAACAATATTTAAAATCCTCTTGAAAACAATCCCTGTGACAGTTGGACTGGTTCCACCATCCACTTAGAAAATGAGGTTCATAAATATCAGTACCTTGCTATCAAGATCTCCATGTAGATTGGGACAATACTTAGGCTTAAATGCTACACCAAGCAGGCTTTTGACAGCTGAGTATGCTCTCTTGAATCACCTGGCCCCTATCATTCATTTCATATGCATGCTGTGATTGAGGAGTGCATAGGCCTGGGTGCTTCGAAACCTCTGTTATGTTGGTAGGTTTATACTATGTTGACCTTGAACTGACCTGGCAAGTAGCATGACATGACCTACTCAAGAAATAATAAAACTCGAAACAATAAAAATGTCATTACTACCAACAGAGGGTCTGGAGTCAAGCTGGTAAGACTGACCTTATGTCCTCAAAATAAATAATTCCAAAAGCAGAAATCGAATTCAAGTAATTTGGTTTAACACTTCTTCGATTTGACAGTAAAATGTCTCCTTTAAAAGTTCATGTTCAAAGATTTCTTCAATATTCAAAGAAAAACATGATGAATTAACCTGTGGGTTAATTCACAATCAATTCTTAATCCTCTCCCTGTTCTCTCCTACATAGATTGTTTTTCTTGTAGTTTCTAATTTCTTTTGGTATGGGTGTCCTGTAGCTAGCTTTCCATGGGAGGCAACGATTCACGCAGATTAATTTTCCAAGAAGTTTTCTCCAAAGGAACAAGTGTTAGAAAATATGCTGGAATCAATGTTTCAGCAAACGCCTTTTCCCAAAAACATTTAAATTTTCATGGAAGAGTAAGAAAAGTTTCACAAACATAAAATGGATTGGTAGTTGAGTGAGAAACGTCTAGATATGTCTTCGCCACTGTAACATTCTTTTGTTTTATTTTGAAAGACCAAAGAGCAAAGGACAATATTGAAGGTATATCACCCACAATTCTTTGCTTGTGTTTTATCGAACTCAAGGTTTATGTTTACATAGTATATCATTTAACAGGTTGCACAAACAAAGCAATCAAGTAACCATGGAAACAAGACATGATCTAAACACAATGTCTACATGGTAGGATTTTTTCACCATCGACTGGCATACAAAAGAAAAACAGAGAAAATTGAATATTGCTAATTATGTCAACCAATCAATTAAGATAAGCTGGTATTAAATTTCACTGCTTGTGTATATTTATAATTAGTTGTCTCTGGAGATAAAAAGTTTTTTTCTGAAAATTTTAATTAAACCTAATTAATCAACATTTGAATAATGAATGACATGATGACTATGAGGGTGTATTAAGTAGCATACTAAGGATGTTGAGATATGAAGTGTTGAAGACACTTTCTTAGGTCCTTAGGTTTATAAGCATTCCTAGACGTAGTTTGAAAGTTGAAAGGTGCTCTACATAGTAACAAATGTCACAATTTGATTAATTCCAGTCCATGTTGTAAATGTTTAGATTTCTTTCTTACCAACTAACTTATGTGGTACTTTGTGTAAATCATTTTACATGGAAATAATCCTGGTCTTCAATAATATTATATAAAATGCTAATCACTACAGTAACCGACAGAAGTCAACCTGAGTTTTGCTTCATAGTCCAATCTGCTTGCTACTTCAACCAAAAATGGCCAAAATGAAGTCTGCACATCAGTTTTCAGGAATACTTAAAATATTAATCTAATTAATGAAATGTACCAATTAGCTTTATTTTTCATTATCATTATTCTATTTCAATCTATAGAGCTACAGTACTACTTAAAATTAGTATGGTACTTTGTGTAAATCATTTTACATGGAAATAATCCTGGTCTTCAATAATATTATATAAAATGCTAATAACTACAGTAACCGACAGCAGTCAACCTGAGTGTTGCTTCATAGTCCAATCTGCTTGCTACTTCAACCAAAAATGGCCAAAATGAAGTCTGCACATCAGTTTTCAGGAATACTTAAAATATTAATCTAATTAATGAAATGTACCAATTAGCTTTATTTTTCATTATCATTATTCTATTTCAATCTATAGAGCTACTACTTAAAATAAGGCCAATGCCTACAGTACACAAATTGACATGCAAGTAAATCATGTTGAAGCATTGATTCCTCACTTGTAATGTTTTCCACCTTTGAAATAACCGCTTCACTGGACATGAAGAGAAAAATATAGTTCAGTCTGTAACTCCTATAAACGTGAGACAGTTTATGACATTTTGTAAATGTCAGAATGTATTCATCAACACCAATGAGTGACATTCATGTTACAATCTATAACTTTATTTACATCAATTTG